CAGAAATTTACTTCTGTGGTAAAATTCTCTTGCCTTCAAGGAATGTGGGTGGGGGAGAAGGCCATTCTGCCTAGAGTTAGCAGTCCCTTTCTGGATATGAATTTGTCTTAGGGCCATGAGTCCCCTCTGCCCAGTCACTGATGCAGGAACTGGGTAGTGAATAGGGCACGGCACGGAGCTGGCTCCCCCAAGGCAACCAAGGCAACGTGAGCCCGACAGACACCCGGTGAGAAGGGTATGCGAGCCTTCTGACTCAGAGGACAGGGCTGCGACTTCGGGGTCCCCTTCTGCTCATAGCTCCCCACCATGGTCCTTTTCCATTGCCTTTCTTCTTCTCTCAGAGACCCCCAACTGTAGCCACAGGGCGCCCAACATGGAATGACCAAGTTCCCACTGCTTGGGGGGTGACGTCAGCAATAGATGCTCAGCTCGGAGACCCTGACAGATCCCGAGTCTAAAATGAAAAAGGAAAAGGAGGAACACCGACCTCATTGAGAGGACCCTTTTCATTCTGTGAGTGATGGGCTGGATGGACAGAACCGCGTGTGCACAGCCCGGGTTAGCTTTTCAACGTGTCACTACAGCAACATGCTGTCAAACTACCCCGTGGGTCTGTGTCCGTGACTTCATGTCAAATCCTATGGCAAGGGAGAGGAAGAGATGCCTTCACTAGGAGGAGGTTACGAAGGCCCTTGTAAAATTTTACTCTGCGTGGTAAATTCAAGTTTTGCAAGAGAAACAATTCTCTAGATAGTTTAGCATTTAGCAACACTCGGAACCCAAATGAAGCTTTGGCTCAGCAATCCCCGAGGATATCGTTTGCCCCAGTGAACGCAGAAGCACAGTTGTGGAACCACCACGTCCAGGGGGCTTGGTTCCCAGGGATGACTGGCTTCTCCCAGTGACACAGCCTCAAGCTGGTTAAAATAATACAGTCAATGTAACTTCCATGCAGTCATGGTGGAGACAGGCGTAGCTGCTCTGACCTTCAGACATGGAGTTGAAAGACTCAAGCAGGGTCCAAGGGCACCTGGGGCCTGGGCATGTGCGACACAGCCCTGGTCACAGCAAGCCACGTGGATGACGAGCAGGCCACTGAGCGTGACAGCCTGCTTCGTGTCAGCTGTGGTTACAGACCCGTGTGTAGAAAGGAGCAGCAGAGGATCAGACACTGTGTAGGCTTCCATTTTTTTTAATCTTTAAAAAATTTTTTACAACACAGCAGGATGGGATGAGAAAAATCTTCAACAGGTCTCTAGAACACCACACTTACCCGGTGTGTTTCCAACTCCAGTTTTTAATTGAGGGAGCCCTCTGCCTTAGATCTGGTCTGTGCCGCACTGTCAAGGTCTGCTGTGGCTCTCAGCATCTCTATGTAACCTTAGACAACATGGGACCGGCCTCTGCCGCGCACTGTCTGATACTGTTAATTGTTTGTCCCATCTTTTGGCCACTCAGTTAATATTAAAAGCAGTATAGGGGCCGGCAGGTGGCATGGTGGTGAAGGCACCAGACTCCCACATGGCCAACTGAACTTTGAGTCCTGAACCTGGCAGCTTGCTCTCTCATTTTCCTTCTCTGTCTCTCTCTGGTGAGTACATGTACCCTATAGCAAATTAAAAAATAATAATAATACTAAGTAAAATGACATAATTCTTTTAGAAAAGTGGTATTTTAGTTTTCTCCATATTTTCTATATCAATGTATTTGTTATTTTGTAATGCTTATTGATTTGTAGTCTCATATGCCATTAGAAATAGAACAAAGGTTATATATAAGCACATCTGGGGGCTGGACTGTGCATGGCGCTAAAACATGTTGTTCTACGAGGTTGACCCACATGAGAGTGTTCTGGGTTCAAGTCCAGAGACCTCCCTGACTGTACAGGGAATGCCCGTGTCCTCGATCTGGGGCCGGTCAAGGCTGGGGGTGGATAACAGTGTCAAGACCCTATTGGAAGTACCTGTCTTTCTCTCCCTCTCTCTCATGCATGGAAAAAGAAAGGAACTTTCAACAAACCATTACAACAAAAATAGAATGTTAGATAGCCCTTTGAGTCCCTCACAGTATTTAAAGAGGGTATTATTGGGACCAGCAGATGGCACAATGATTATGTCTCTGGACTCCCACGTAGTCCACTGTGGTTTGAGTCCCAGACCTGGAGGCTTAAAACTTGAGGGTGCATGCTCAGGTGTGCTCAAAATCCTGAGAGGAGAAGGGATTGCAGCGTGTCCATGCCCCCTGGGGACTGATTCCTTGCTTTCTGTCTCTGTCCCTCTCTGTGTCTATGGCTGGTTCATGTACCCTATAGCAGAAATCTCTCTTAAAAAAATAGGGTATTATTTTTGAGGTTGACCTGAAACATACACAAATGTATAGGTTTAAATACTCTATTTTCTTTTTCTTTTTCTTTTTAATTTGTCAGAGGGCATGTGGGCTCGTCTGAGAGAGACCGAGAGAGGGAACGTGAGAAAGCACACCTCAGGGAGCATGGCCAAACTGCAGTCCTTCTCCTTGTCCCCTCTTTGGATTTTGGGTATGCATGCATATGTACCTGGCATGTTTTTAAAAGAATTATTTATTTAATTTTATTATTATTTTAAAATTTGCTATAGCACACGTGCGCTCACCAGAGAGAGAGAGAGAGAGCACAAATGAGAAAGCAAGCCACCAAAACTGGGACTCGAACCATGGTTGGTCATGTGGGAGTCCAGTGCCCCAACCACCATGTCACCTGGTGGCCCCCACAACATGTTTTTCAAACTGCTGGCTCTGGGACTTGCCAGCCACATGGGATCCAGTTGCCCCAACTACCATGCCATTGGCTGACCCCTGACTCCATTTCTTAACAGCTGTGTGCCTGTGGGAAAGATTTTTCTAGACCTCATCATCCTCATCTATACAGTGGGGTGATCAGGGCAGCACTTCACAGTCGTGCGGATTTAATGAGGAGAGAGCAGGACATGGACTGTCATGCCTGACCCACAGCAAGTGCTCAATATATATAGATCAGGATGATTAATTTCTGACTGCTGTGTCCACAGGGGCTTAATCAAAGTTGGTGACCCCATGGGTGTATTGTAGTTTAGGGTGAGGGCAGTTACAGATGTCAGTGTCTTGGCCTCTCCCACTGGAACTGAAGACTTCTCAGTGACCTGGTCCTTCCTGTCACTTTGGAGGGAACGGAGATGGCGGTCCAAGGCAGCCACCCTCCTTCTGCACCAGTGTTGTCACCTGCCGTCATGGTCGTCCCAGAGCATTTAATTACACGTGTCACTGTGCTGAGCAGTGCACAAAAAGACTTGTCTGTAGATAAAATTCCTGTCCATTGGGAGCTCACAATATCAAGGACATTTTGATAGACATGTGAATTAGAACTTACTGGCAGGAAAAAGAAAAAAAAAACAGTTATGATAAAACACTTTTAAAACCAAAAGGGGCCTTAGAAATTATTCCAGGTCTCTAATTTTACAGACAAGAGGCCAAGGTTCATGGAGGTAGAATGGCTCTCCTGCAGTCCTTCTTCCACAGGTGCCAGGTGGAGGCGGGGCCAGGTCCCAGGCCCCAGGGCCCCTGGCACCCACCTCTCACCTCCAGGGGGCACTGCTCTCGTTACCTACACAGGTGGGCTGCGCCTTGGGCTCTGTGAAGTGCAACCCTATGCCTATTTCCCCTCTGTGCCATGGATACAAATAGACGTTGGTATTTTTGTTTTGTGCAGTTGGAGAATAATGTGACGCGATTATAGGGCTACGAGGAAGTCTAATAATTAGGCACAGAGATCTGGAAGAATATTTCAGAATCATGTGTTGAGGCGTAACTGGGGTCTACGTTTATCAGAATAGGCGAGAGTGGGTTTTGCGTGGAGCTAAGCTTTCCAGAATTTTTGCTCACATCACGTAACTTGCTTCCTAAGCGGAAGGCAACAATTAGAATCATCAGCTGCCCAGGCCTTAGAATGAAATTCCTTACAAAGTCATTCAGTCGGTTTCATTTATTTCTAGCTGGCTTTTATTTTTAACCTACCACCAAGGAGATGGATGTCTCCCACTCTCTGAGGACATTGCCGTACTACAGGAAACGCACATCAGGAAGTCCTGCAGCTTGTCTACCTTAAATGTGTCTTGCTGCAGCTGAAAATACAGAACTTACCTTGTTCTTTTTTAGTGCCGATCGACTGAAGCATGTGTAATGAACTCCTGCCTCGCTCTCGTTGAGAGAAAGTCCTCCTTATTTAGAATGTAGACTTCCTCAACTCCCAGATATCTCATCCCTTTTCATGATATCATTTGCACACAGCTGACTTTAGGAAATAAATAAAAGAAAAATAGAAGTGGTATAGGTATTCTGAAACACGACTGACAGGAGAAGAAAATAGAAAGTTATTTATTATTTTCAAAGCAACTAAGTGGAAAGGTTGATGAGAGAGAAAAAAAATCTGCCACTGAATGATGTTTCCATCACAGAGAAGAATAGGTAGCAATGAATGAAATTTGACTCATCTTTGCAAGTTTCACTGAGCATGAAAATGTCCCTTTAAAATTTCCCGTATGCCGTTGCTGGCTGTGGGGTTTTGTGCAGAGGGAATCTTGAGTTCAGGAGGCCAGGGAATGCCAGCGGGAAAGGGATTTTCGGATACTTGGGGCTCTGAGACTGTCAGTTTAAAAAATGAAAGCAATATAGAAGGGGCAGTGTGGCATTTATCGTCCCATCTCTCCAGGCTCCTGTCTCTTTAATCAGCTAGCCTGATTTGCCCAGTAAAAGAGTCCTGTGTGTGTGTGTGTGTGTGTGTGTGTGCGCGCGCGCGAGTGCGTGTGCGTGCATGCCCGTGCGCGTGTGTTATAGCTCTGTCAATCCTTGGATTAGAACCAATGATTGCAGCTTGTAGGAGGGCTGTCCAGGGCCAGATTGTACAATGTGTCTCAGTGCCAGAGTATGAGTGGAGATAATTACGGAGAAGTCGCACTCTCTCACACCCTTGGCTTTCTTGTGTCCTTCAGCGAAACAGTGGATTTAAATCTCCTTGCATGAGCTTGAGAGCAACGCAATCTATCAGGAAAGGAAGAAAGGGGCAAAGACGAACCTGACAAAAAAGAAGAAAAAGAAGAAGAAAAAAAAATCATGAAAACCATCCAGGCAAAAATGCACAATTCTGTCTCGTGGGCGATCTTCACGGGGCTGGCTGCTCTGTGTCTCTTCCAAGGTAAGAACTTGCTATTGATTTGCCTCCTGGAGACCCAGGGATTGTAATGTGTGCTTCCTATGATTCGCAGACTCTGAGTCGGCTCTGCTGCGTGGTTTGCAGGTGGAGGAGAGCGTTTCAACAGCATGGCTGGGACTTCCTTCTCCCGACCAGGCTGGGAGAATATTGATTTGATTCTGGCTGCTGCCGGAACGGGGGAATGTATGTGCATAAGTAAAATGTGTCTGGTACTCCTGCGAGGTCCGTGGTTGTGTGCTGGGTTCCCTGGCTTTCTGCACATTCTTGCATGCATACCCAGCAGAGCACACATGTAAGCAGGGGAAGATTACAGAATCAGAGGGCAGCGGGGCTTCTAATGTGTTGCTTATGCAACTGGGGAAGAAATTGCAAGAGGAAACTTTAAATATTGGCCAGTGAACTTGCAAAGCTTCTGAAAGGAGCAAAGGGGAAAATGCAGCCTTGTAATAATCAGGTGCCTTCAGTAAGGTTCTGATCGGAGACCCAGCTTCAAGGGATGAGCACGTTAGCAGCAGCAGTGGGTTGCTATTAGTTTGCAATGTGTTTGGGGAGTGTTTGTGGCAGGGGCGGGGAAGGGGCTGTGGGTAACTAGCAGAGCAAAGCCAGTGGGAGCACAGGGCTCTGAAATTTGGGAAAGCTTTTCTAAGTTGGAGGGAGAGACAGTGAGTGTCGAATGTTAATTTTCCGTTTATTGACTGACTGGCTGGGAAGCAGAGGGGACTGTGATTGAGGACCAGGCTTGCTCTCTGGCCCAGCAAGGGCTTGGATTTCGGGCGCTGTGTTAGATGCATTTGGAACCTGCCTCCACCCTGGGTTCCCTTGCTGCACTGTGGCCCAACAGCACCCCAGGACTCTCATTTCTCCATTCCAGCAGCAGAGGTATCCACTGACCTGCTTGTTCTGCCCGCCCGTCCTTTGGGGACTCTTCTTTGCCTCTTTTCTGTTAAAGATGCCTGGATTCCTAGGGCTGGCGCCATGGGAGAAACTTTCCTGGGTGGTCCAGCAGGACTCTCCAGGAGGAGCTGGCCCGAGGGAGGGAGGCTCAGTCCCTGCAGTTGTATTCCCAGAGGAAAGTTCAGTCTGACAGAGTGAGGCAGGACGGGAGTCCCACCCGCCTTGTTCTCTTCTGCTGCTGCAGTACGAGTTCTCGTGACCCATGCTGAGTCCTGAGCTGACCCTCGGGGAGGCGAGGCTTTGGGGACTGCACTGTCCCCGATATGCCTGCAGAGGCTGTGGTACACATCTACCTGCAACGGCCGAGTGACCAGGCTGGAAAGAATCAAACGTGTGTGCACCCTTGACTGGAGCTCAAGGAAGACAGCGAGAGGCAGGAGGGATCCAGGCTGGGGGAGCGTGCTGTCTCCCGGAGCACGGCCTCAGGGTCTCTCTGCTCTCTCCCAGAGGTGTGGGTGGGTGTAAGAGTGGAAGGACTCAACTTGGAGACATCCTTGATGGACTTCTCTTATGTAACACAGAGCAGCATTGGTGTGTATGACTGTGCATGTGTGTGTGCATGTGTGTGCACCTGGTTTGTCCTGGGTGTGCAGGGACTCACACTGTGAGAGCAGAACCCTAACACTGGCTGTGGGGAAACTGAGTTCAGGCCCAGACACCTTTAAGAAACAGCTTCTGCTGGTACTGACACCAGAAACAAAACTAATGAAGGAAGGGGTGGAGGGAGGGCTTGGAAGGGCAGGAAGGCCCCAAGCCCTGGGCAGTTTCCCTCCACCCTGGGGTCTGAGGCTGCTCCATCTATAACATCAAACTGGAAGCAATGACCAAACTCCAGCAGCCACAGCCCACTGGCTGCGTGCCAGGAGCCCCAGGGCCATGCTGAATTTACATATAAATTAGCATACGTGATTTTTTTTCCATCAGAAATAAATGCAGGGAAGCATAATATTTGCTCACACTTTGCATCATCCCCAGATAGAGCAGTAGAAAGTGGTGGTGCAAATCTCTCAGGGGTGAAAGCCGATTTCGTGGTCTTGTGCCTGCCTTGGGGTAGGGGCAGTGACAATGGGGTTATCTGAGACCTGGTCACATCCCAGCAAATCCTGGATCTCCTACGGGCCGTCATGGCCTGGTGTGTGCTGCCCACCTTCAGACAGCTCCAAACAGGCGTCTGCGGGGCAGCACGGAATAAGGCTCCCAGTTTTAACGCGGAACGACCCTCACAGCACGTGCCAGGAATGGGAAGCAGAGGTGATGCCTGCCTCCTCTGGCAGGGGGAGGCCACCCCAGCCAGCCAGCTATCTCTTATCAAACTTGCAGAATTATGGAGGCAGCCCAGGTCTTGCTGCAATAATCCACCCCGATCGCATTGACCCGGTGGGACTCGTTAGAATTCAGTGCACATTCCGAGGCAATTTTTCCTTCTCCTCTGTTTTTGTTTTAAGCTGGCTCTTCTTAGCTGAGACTTCCTGTGTCTCCTGCCTTTGAAAAGGCATCTGGTGCTAGTGGCAGGTTAGGGACCCCCTCCCCATCGGGCTTCTTTCCCACCAGCCCCACCAGCAACCATGATCCAGCTTACCAGCCAGGGCTGGAGGCCAGCTGATTAGTCCAGGCTGGGCTGGCAGTTGGGGGTGATTAGCTCCCTGGGGCTCGGGCTCTCGGATGCAGCAGGGGTGATTAACTAGAGGGCCCTGTGAGGGAGCTGGAGCAAGGAGGCTGGATTAGGGCTTCGCGGTCAGCACACCGCCCACCTCTGCCACTGAGAGGCTCTGGAAGGAATGGCTTTTTTCTGCAGCTTTCTCTTTCTAGAAACCCGAGCATTTCTCCTTCGAAGGATTATTGTTCTTTTAACACCTTCCGATCAGCTTGGCTAGCTTCCTCTCCTGCCTTCCTAATTTGCTCTCCCCTCCCACTTACCTGCCGGCTGGCTTGCGACACAGGGCAGAGTAGAAGGGACAGGAGGCTTAGCCAAGCGCACACTCTCATTCTTTCAGTGTCCAGGACATGGGTGCCGTTCCGCTGGGCAGCCCAGCCAGGTTCCTGCCACTCACAGGCGACACTCGGGTGCCAACTGCAGCCCAAGTTGGGAGGCGAATGAGACCATAACAATTTTTACTGGCAAAGTGAAAAAATCGGTTTGGGATGATGGGGCTCTGGGCCTGATGTAGGCTTTGTGTGCATTTGAAAGCTTGGCAAAAAAAAAAATATTGAAAAGGAGGGGACAGAGGAGTTTCACCAAGAGGAGCCTGACTACCATGCTTGGAGCTGTGAACTTGGGCAGGTGTGGGCCAGGCGGGCCTAGCCGCACGGTGTGGTGAGTGGTGTACCCCGTGTCCTTTCTACGCAGGGCACCTGCCCAGAGCTGCGGGGCTCTGAGCGTGTGCTGGGGTGCTGGACAGCACCGGCTGTGAGCAGCTGGCCTCACAGCATAGAGGCCATTCTTGGAACTGCAGCCTTAGGGACCGAGGGCAAAGCTTGACCCTGGTGCTGATTTTTCTGGTTTTGTTCTTTTAAAGCCAAATATAAGCTCAAGAATTCTTTCTTATCAGCTGCAATGAAAAGCCTCTGACTTCTGTCCTTTTTCAGTAAGCTTCTCGTCCAGCACTGGTATTGGGTCTCCTGAACCGGGTCACTAAGTGTCTCTCCTGGTTTCCCCCTATTCTGGCTCACCTTTGAGCAGGCCCTGGTGGTCATTGCTCTGCATGCACGCAATCTGGCAGTGTGGGGCCTGGCCACATCGTGGTCAGTCCAGACAGGCTGGTGTTGGCTTTAGCCACGACTTATCCCTTAGGATGACATGAGCTCACTTGGTATCCCGAGATGCGGCAGAATTTCTAAATCACTATGGGACACGTGACTCTGGCATGTGCAAGAAACACATGCTGGAGAGGTGCCCATGGTTGCTGTCCATTCGCCGTGGAAGCATGGTTTGGATAGGACCCACAAGGCTGGGATGGGGCCTTTTTTGGCTTGGGACTTGTAGCCTGTTTTGCCCACTGATGAGGATACTCAAGCTGCAAAACTGTGGCTTTGTGTCTAGCCTCAGTGGAAGCCCACGGAGCCCTGCAACCTTGATGCTGTGGCCGTTGGGTTTCTGGCCAGTCCTCATGGCCGGAGCACAGTTCGGTGGGGAACATGAATGTCTGAGTTCAAACCTCCCTATGTTTTCTGTGGGAAAAAATCTTTCCCTCTGGGAGCCTGTCTCCCACCTGCCCGCCAGGCTGGGGAGTGACTCCCCTGGGTGTTACAAGGACTCATTAACGCTGGTAACACCCAGACATGTGGTGCTAAGTGGGACTCCATGCTGAGACCAGTTGTATTCATGCGTCTACTTCCTTTCTGCTCTATTGGCTTGTTACATGTTTACTTTATGTCTATAGTCACTTGGAATTCAATAAAACAAATTAAACACAAAAAATGAAAACATGCAACACTCAGGGAGTCGATGGTACTCTGGTTGGGTAGGGCGGGAGCAGCCCCTCTGGTGTCTCCTCTGCCCTGGAGGTGGCTGCTTCACTCTGGGAGGGCCTCAGAGGAAACTGGTGGGGACGTGCCTCTGGTCCATTTAGAGGGGCTTCTGCCTGGGGCGCAGTGCCCCCAGCGTGGGGGGCCCATGATGACAGGGTGGGAGCTGGGGTAGGAGCTGCAGTGGGAAAACAGCTCTCCTCCGGTGGGCAAAGGGTGGGAAAAAGAGGACTCTGTCCTTTGCGTGGGCTGTGAGCGTGGTCACCTCGAAGGCTTGTGCTTTCTTGGATGTGCGTCTGTGTTTGTGCAGCCTCCTGGATTAAGCCTGCTCTTGCTGTTGCCGCTTAAACTGTGACACAGGAGTTCATCTACTTACCCTCTTACTCTCTCCTCTGCCTTAAGCCTGCTCTTGCTGTTGCCGCTTAAACTGTAAGACACAGGAGTTCATCCACTTACCCTCTTACTCTCTCCTCTGCCTCTCTCTCCCCTCCTCTCCCCTCCCCTTTCTCTTTTTCTCTTTCCCTTTTGCTTTCTTCCTCTCTGTTCCTTCTCCTCTATGGGAA